ATTTAATATACTAGTTATTTTTACATATTTTTAAATGGAGGGTTATAGTTTTATTAGTCCAAACCAACTATATTATTAATTTTAGTCTATGATAATAATTTGTAATGTTCTACACACTATTTAATAACTAAAGTCAATTAGAAATCCTAGGGAGTACATATGAAAATTATCAAGTATTTCATAATATTAAAAGTAGTAAAATACTCTATGAGTTTGTACACAAATTTTAGTAATATAGGAAAAATAGAGATTGTATTTCATTTTTATTATTATTATTATCTAATAATACCCAAAAAAAAAAATAATTACTAAAGAAGATATTGCTTAATACTAATAAATCATACAATTAGCACAATTCAGGTAAGGGTACACATGTGGGGTATCACAATAACTTTATTAAAGTAATAATATAAACGTGGTATCATAACTAAAGAAAATATGATATTAGTCAAACTTGCAATTTTATGCTCCAATTTTCTCTTTCTTTTAAATCTTGATAATAGCTTATATTCTCTCTTTTGTGACATAATTTTTATCTAACTTTCAAGTATATTTTTTATGTATTTTTTAACTCTATGTAGAATTCTAGTTATATATACAATTTATACATTCACCAATTATATTGTTGAGCCAACTATATTACAACATATATTTTTTGTTCATTTATTTTTGATGATTTTCTTATGTTGAATTGAGAAAAAATATGTTTTTTTTTTTAAAATATTAATGAACTTATAGTGATTGTATTGATGTGTTAAAAAAAGTATTACATATAAGAAAGATGACAAATTATAAAATGTATAATTTATAAATTGTAATAACCTTATGTTATTCTGATGGTATACTTTTTATTAATTACATACCCCTAACATGAAATTATTTTGGATCCGACAGTTTTTCAATGGAACTTCCATTGAATATCTTACAATTTCAATGACAATTTTTCAAACAGTTAAGATATGGTCGAAAAAAAAATCCAACGAAAATTCACACAATGGTAATTGAATTATTAAATCCACAGATATGTGAAATAGCCAATGAATTTTTTCAATAGAAGGTATACCAATGAAATATTTGTTTGAATTTTCAGAGGAATGCCTTACAATAGTATTTATCATTATAATATGAAATTGTTGTATTATTTCTTAAAAATTTAATTTTTTATGTAGGAAATTTGTTATTTATTAATTGTGTTTAAACATGTGTACTTTTTAGTCCATATAATTTTCTTACAAATCACTCGTTATTTTATGTTGAGATTACCTATTAATTTTTTAATTGAGTTACTTTTCCTACATATTAATAAAAATAAGTATTATTTTATATATGCAGTATGATATTTATATATAATATTCAAAAAGCTAATTACAAATAAAAAGATATTTAAAATTACAATAATCAATTTTGTAAGAAAAATAAAATTAAAAGCTCTAACCTACATTGATAATATCTATAGTACATAACCTAAAACTTACACCTTGAATTAATATGCTCAAAAAATAACAAGCGTTTAACAATTCAGCTCGTTTACATCGATAAGTATAAATTTAAAAAATTTTATACTTACTTTTATTAATTATAACATTTATAGTTATTGCTTTTTTTTTCATATTTATTAGTAAGTGTTACAACTTAATTATATTTTTAATATTATTTATCATGTTTAATATTTTCTTACTTTATATTATTCTTTCATAT